ATATATATGATAGCATCATTAATTGCAATTTTTTGATGGCCTGCTAGTATTATATTTATATTTCTTAAATATTGACTATCGATCGCTTCGCGTGACGGTTTGTGTAACGTCATATCCTGTAACCGGAAATCTTTCAGCAAGGAGCTTTCGGTTACAATCAGTATATGTATACCAAGGGTTGATGAAGGAAAACGCGAAACCAGAGTGCACCAAAAAGATGAAAGACCTATAAAAGATGAAAGAAATGATATATTAATGCGTTATATTTCAAATATATTTTCGATATAAACATTTAGCTATATAAAATTATAATATATGTATCTATTGTGATAAATTTCTATCTTTTGTAAAAATTATAATTTATTATATAGTTATTATATAAATCGTAACTTTTATAATAATTCAATCGAAAAGGACATTTCTGTCTTTTTAATTAATCTATCAAATACACACAATAACTTTTTTTTGAAGGAAATCAAATTGCACAGTAAATATTATATATAATATATTATATATAATATAATTGATATAATTACGGTTCGTATCGATTTGTTTACAATTTTATCAACAAATTTAATAAAAATGTAAAACTGATAAATCCTTAGGTGTCGATCCAAGGCTATTGCTGGGAACTGGTGGTGATCGCGCTTGGGAAGGCCGCTATCACGTCAAGGAACATCGACGTGCTGGAAAAGCTACCTTTCAAGGTCAAGTTTACAACTTCTTAGAGCGTCCCACTGGCTGGAAGTGCTTCCTATACCACTTCTCTGTGTAAGTGTAATGTTTTGTATCTGCATGCAATTTAATATATCTTTTTAATGGAATATTTGGCAAAATATTACATCATCATCATTAAATGTAACTTTGTAAGGATCATGCGAAAATTGACGAAATCCTTATAAATGCGTTCTTGTCGAGAATCGTCTTCAGATTCCATTTATTTTTATTTCTTTATCTCCCAATATTGTGTTTTCATCCGATATCCTGCAGCTATAATACAAGTAATATAAAATGAAATAAAGAGTTTAAAACGCGTATATTTCATTTTTTCGCATTATCAGCTGTTTTTCACGCTCAATATAACAAAGGAAGATTAAGGTATTTGATACCATTACAGTATTAATCTTTTATTATCACTTAATAAATTTAAATTATTATTAATATAATGCTTCAAAGATTAATAGTTTTAAAATTGCTCCTTTTTTAAAAAACATTTGATATATAAATAGCGTTATATAATATGCGCAACTTTTAGAAATTAATCTAAGATAAAGTGGATGCTTTTAATTTATAGTCTTCGTCACAATAAAAATAATTAAAAAGATTTTCCCTTACAAGATGGATAAGTCAAACAAATAAAAGTTGTAAAAAATTGTAAAAAATTGTAAAATTTATAAATAAATCAAACGAACCAAAGGAATTTTTTAAGAAAATTTATATCTGCTTTTACAGTATTTTTTTTTTAAATGTTCTTTCTGTAATAACTTAAATTTATGAAGGCGAAAAAGAAGTAAAAGAAGTTATGACATCATAATTCGAAATTGGCTACAATAATAAATCCATTCTTACTCGAATAATATGTTTTCGGATCACGGTTTATGGTAGGTTCTATAGCGAGGAAAACACAATTGTTTATTAGAAATTTATATGACGGACGAAATATCTCTGTCCGTATGCGAAACTCTTTATGCTTCCCCAGAGTATTCTTCGGCGTATGCCGATAAATAATAAAGCTTTATTGCCATGTGGATGCAATTACCTGTTGGAATTTATCGTAAAAAGTTAAGAGAATTTAGTTAACGCAATATATTTTTGATTACACTATAAATAGTATAATAAATATTTTATTAATAGCATTTTTTAAATTACATTTATTACAAATATATGTACAAAATCATACAAAAAATGCAATATTATTTATTTTTACTATGATATACATATTGCAGTTAATAGTTGTGCTATCTACTGATTATATATTTTCCTTTCAAGGCATTGTTATAATTAAAAAGAACATATATTTTTCAATAATTAATCATTTCATGATTTTTAACGAATACTGTATTTTTATTAAAAAGATAAACTTCGTAAGATAAAGATACACATAATGATGAAAAAATAGTGTTTTTTTTTTCATTTTTACTTTCAAGATATCTATAGATTGTTCATACGTAGATTATCGTATAATTCGCATAGCTTATGTTTGATGCGCATAGATGGCGGACCCCATACTGACATTGTCTACTACGTCTGATCAATATTCATTTTTTACCTTTTATCTAAAGCAGGGATCTGCATTAAAGCATGTAATTTTTTGATGTTTTATTTTTCAATTTTTCAATTTTGAAGTGTATTCTATTCTTAATTACATTCATAAAATTATAGCTGATTTTTTTTAGCAAAAGATATATTATATTTAGTATAAATTGATTGATTTTTTATACTATATTATTCAAGCTAAAACTTATCAAACATAATCTTGTAGAAACTGCTTTTTTCTTTCAAAAGAGAGAATAACGTTTCATAATTTAATGATTTATTTCAATATCGCAATATTTTACTGTCAAGTATATTCCTAATGTTCAACGACAAGATGTTCAAAAGATATGTGTTATTAGGATAATACTACTCTCTCTTTCTTCTTTTTACATTTAATTTGTAACGGTATGTCGAAGGGTAGGAAGAGAAACAGATAAATGTTATATGCTGGATTATTTTACAGCATTATCATCGAGTAAAAGAAAATATGCATATATAGGGTTATTATGCCAAGTGATATTCTCCCATCAACCCTCGACATACATAAATAATACATTGAAGTGCGTAAAATTTCAGAGAGAGGGATAATACGCAGTTGAATCCTGTACATGTACTCTGTCAGGTCAAAAAAGCATGTAGATTACATTGAAAGAAATTGGTCGCTTTATATACAGGATGTTTGATAAGTAATGATAAATCTGTCGCATAGAGGTAAAGCGGATTAAACTAAAAAGTTCTCTATCATTTTGCAATTTTCGTAATTAACAAGATATCAATTACGAAAAATTGTCAAATATTGGTTTTCAATAATTTTTTACTCGAGTATTATCAAGTTTACAGAAAAACAGCAAGAGACAAAAATTATTTATTTTATTTTTATAGAGCTCTAAGAATTTTTTCAGAATTTTTTATCAACTTTTTAGTACTGCATTTTTTTATTGACAACTATTTTTACCAACATGGAAAAATGCGTAACTAAACAACTAAAAATGCGGTAATTAAACAACTAAAAAATTCTGAAAAAATTCTCGAAGCTCTATGAAAAGAAAATAAACAATTTTTATCACTTGCTTTTATTTCTGTAAAGTTTATAATACTTGAGTAAAAAACTTATTGAAAACTAATATTCGGCGATTTTTAATAATTAGTATCTTATAGTAATTAATATCTTGTTAATTAATTAAAATTAAACTATTATGAAAATTGTAGAGGACTTTTCAACTTACAAGTAAACCTACGGAAATGTCACTCACCGATTTTAATTTTAATTTTTAATGAAACTTTGTATATTTGTAGAAATATTTCTTCTTCTTTGAAAAATATTTCACACGTATTTTTTTTTATTGGCAAAAGTCCACTCTGAAGGATGAAAACTACTCCTTAAAGATAAGGATAGATTTAACATAGGTGAAATAAGTTGAAAATCTTAAACCGATGGTGATTTTAGCTACGTGTCGTATCTACAATTTTTTCAATTCTGTTGAAAAAACGTAAACATCAGACCGCTCATGCACGGAGAGAATTTTTTCTCAGAATTTACCCTGAAAATATGATAGTGGGATAACATTATATTTCGAAGAAATAATTTTATGTAAATCTCTCTCATTCATTAATAAAACTACAATAAAATATAAAATAAATTTGATTAAGAATTGAATTTTAATGAAGTGCATGATAAAAATCTTTAAAATATTGTATTGCATCATAATTACCATATTTTCAGGATAAATTTTCAAAGAAAATTCTCTCTGTGTATCTACAGTGTATGTATGTGTCAGTGAAAAAGGAAAACGCTTGTGTGCCCGCCGTATCTACTTATGATTGCACGTGGCACGTGAAGAAAACTTTCATACTTTTGACATAAAATTTAATTTCAGCGACCTCAAAAATCCCCTAACCCATTTTACTTTTTAAAATTTTCAATTTATTTCATCTAATATGTTAAATCTACTCTTACCTTTAAGGGGTAGTTTTTAGAGTGGACCCCTTCATTATGGATCTTTGCCGATAAAAAACAATACATATCAAATATTTTTCAAAGTTCTACAAATATGCAAAGTTTCATTAAAATCGATGAGTGACACTTCCATAGGTTTACTTGTCAGTTTAGTTCGCTCTATCCCTCTGCGAGAGTTTTATTATTATTTATCCTGTATACATACATAAATGAAAACATTAATATCACATCATTACATATTTACAAAGAGATTATTATATGCGAATTTTTATTATCTTTTTATATTCTAAAATAAAATAAAATAAGGTAGCTGAATTATTTACATGTATTAACACAAAATTTTGTATAAACACAAAAAAATACATTTTTTTAAATATTGCGAAGAAAATGTAAATGCTGACTAATTATACTTACCGAATGATATTAGTGCTTTTATCTATAATTAAAGATCGCTATTCTTCGGGATATTATCACGTACGAAGAAGAAGGTTAATGTGTCAGTTTTTTTGATATATTTTCGGATATTTATAACGTTATTAATACAACGATATTCTTTGTCTTTATCTTTACATCATAATAAACTATAAAGGTATACAAATTATTGTAATTAATGATTCACGATAATTTATATATAATTTGTATATAATAAAAAATGTATTTTTTAAATATATCAAATTTAAATATCGCTGTATTTGGTTACGGCCTTCAAATTAAAATTCTATAAGTTATTAACATATTTAAAGTCATCAATGTGCAATGTTAAAATTAATTAAAGATAATCGTCGAATAGTCGTCCTAGAGTCAAAACCTTTAATTAAATATACAATAAATTATAATCGCAACAACATAGTGTAAGTTCTCAAAGGTTTTTTATTTTTATTTAATTAAAAACGGATTTGGCGAAATTATTATTATAGCAAAAAATAAAATTTTTATAATATTAGCGTGCCTGATTATTTTATTGATACTAGATTTCTATTTAAAGAATTTTGATAATGCATATTCTATGAAGCTGACATTTTATCTAGATTTTAAATATTTTATCTAGATTTTAAATATTTTTTTCTGAATTTTAATTTACTTTTTTCTATTTTCTTGATTTTAAATAGTCGATTCTTTTATTTTGATTTTTTTCATTTAATATTAAAAAATTTATAAATTTATCACGATACTAATAAAATTTTTATAAT